TTTAGGGTTTAGGGTAGGCTTTAGGCATTAGGATTTTTTGATCTGTTGAAACACTTGTGTTCAAAACTGATTCGCAGCTTGAGCGTGTAGAGTTTGAGACTTTAGAGTTGGAACTTGGCGTTGGGACTTGAGACTGGCGCAACTCCAGCCTGCATCATATCTCTATACCAGCCGTTCTAAAGGCATGTAGCATTGAACCCTACACCCTAAAGCAACGACGAGATGCCATGCTGGCGATATAGTGAGTGCTGAAGGACGGTCCTACACCCGAAAACCCGAAACCACAGATATCTGTTGCTTACTGCCCCGAGACAGTAACAGTCCATAATCGGGCTTCTATTTAGGGCCCTAAATGTCGATGTTATGAATCTGGTTCAACTGTCACTGAGTGGGGCATTCTCCAAGATACCTGAATGTCATTGAGCCTGCTACAACATAAATCACCAGTCTCCCCAACAACAGGCTCCTCACCCCCCCCCCCCNNCCCCCCCCCCCCCCCCCCCCCGACTGAAAAACTGACAAAACAAACGAGAAAAGTGCTATGACCTGCACCGGGAAAGTGCAAACTTACAACACAAGACTTCTGCAATCAAACCTTGTACTATAGGGGCCTTAAATAGTCGAATAGGGGTTTCGGGTTTAGAGCTATGGTTGTGGTTCAAGCAACCTTGCTTGCACACAAACAGATAGCAACCCTCAGCGTGCCCACTGAAACTACCTGAAAACCAGCCAACAGAAACCACGTACGACCCTTCTGAGCTATAAACCCTAAANNCCTAAACTATAAGCAGAACATGGACCCTAAGCCCTTAACCGTAAACCGAACCCTGAAACCCCAACAGACCAAACCCTCAACCCTCCAGAACCCTAAACCAAACCACAACGTCGTAAAACTTGATAGAACCCTTATAGATCCCCTTGAAGGAGCCCTCAAAGAAACTAAACCTTCTGAAACCCCGGAATCAACAGCGAAAAAGCGTCCGTACAGCAGCGAACGTGAACGCCTGGAAGCTGCGCCTGGGAATTTGTAGGGCCTGTGAAAGGGTGTTCGAAGTTTTTTATCGGGGTTTAGCGGGTGTAAGAAGGGGGTGTGAGTGTTTCAGAAGGGTTTCACTTTTCTGGTGGGTTTTAGAAGGCTGGTGCAGGAACCTCGTGACTGTCTCTAAGAGTTTGAAGGGGTTCAGAGTGGGGAGTGCGAAAGTAAGACTGACTTAAGGGCACAAGCGACTTAGTAAGTGATGTTAGGGTTCAGGGTTTAGGG